AGGAGTAGGCAAAATTAGCCGAACCTCGTAAATTCTGGTGTTCCCTTTATTGTTGCTTTATTGTCTTATTTATTATTTGGTGGCTGTCATAATTTTTGGTATAGTAGTTGTGACTTATTCACACTATATACATTTGGCTTCCGCAACAGAGCTGAAACAAACTTGACCCACTAAAGTCAAGCTTTTCTTATGGCTAGGAATGAATGAGAGAATTCCGACCAGGAAAAACCTTGCTAATATTGGCATCAATATAGATGAGATATTCCTAATCTTTAGGAACTCAAGAAACTATCCAACATATTTTTTTTTATTGTGTAGCTGTTAAACCCCTTTGGAGTCAGTTAGGGCACCCCATGCAACCTTTCTCCCTCAAGATACTTGACTTGTCAAGATACGAGACCTCAATATCATGAGTCCCTCCCAACTTCTCATGTGAAAAGACCTATTTGCTTTTGTCATATGGGTATATGAGTCAACATGAATTTTAATAATCATAACAACACATCTCTTAATGTATCGCTTACTACCATTATTTGCTAGGCCTCAAAATTCAAGTTCTACAGAAAAATCCAGCTCTAACCCTTCAAAAAAATGTGATTCACAAACGTTGGAGAATACCACATAAAGGATGGTTCAAGCTGAACGTGGATGGCTCTTACATGCAGAACAAGTTGCAGGGCTCTTACTTGATTCTAGATACAAAAATAATCTAGACAATTCTATCACCTTCTACTAATATCTTCCTTAAATATCCAAGACTCTAGAATATCTAGATATTTCTTAAGTACAACAACTATCCAAGATATCACTCCATAACTTTCTAGAAACTTCTTTTAATCATTATTCTTACTCTTCCAAAAAATCAACTTTATTTTTTCCCCCCCCCCCCCTCCTAAAGTGGATTTTTGGAAGCTATCCCATGCTTGTCGCAGAAGAACTCAACCGATTCTTTAGGACGTGCCTTGGTGAAGATCTTAACACTATTTTCTGGCTCGTCTTGCTTCTCCAAAGACTGAAGGTTCTTAATTGGTCCTGCAAAGAAACAACAATACGTACTGATAAGATTTTCATCTCTGAAGTGAGCTGGCTTGATAATAGTCCTTTTTGGCCTTCCCGAACAACATAAATCATCTTCTTGCTGAGTTTCTTGTTGTTGAGGTCCAGGACTCCCTTTCTCTTAACTCCTCAGCAGCTGTATTATCTAGAGAAGCACCTGCAATAGGCAAGCTTGAATCTCCATTATTTAAGGTTTTTGAACTCGCTCCATCCAATGCATCTCCATAATACAAAGACACTTTGTTGAATATGACATCCCTTGAGACAACAAAGAGATACGTTTTAGGATCCATGCACTTCCATCCATTTTTTCTTTCATCATATCTGGCAAAGATGTATTTCCTTATCCAACTTGCTCCGTTGAGAATACGGAATGTGAACATAACAAATAGAGCCAAAAACCCTAAGGTGTTTCACGCTAGGCTTTTCACCAAACATTAATTCATAGGGAAACTTCATATTGTTTGGAGAAAGCAACATCCTACTAATCACATACGCTGCACATTTCATACCTTCAGCCTACAAGGCTCTACGTAAATTCTTGGCATGAAGCCAACTCTTACATGTCTCCATTAAGTGTCAGATCTTTCTTTCAACCTCTTCATTTTTTTGTGGCGCATGCCAGCTCTCTTTTAATGCTATGCTGACGACAAAAGGAAAGAAACTCATCTGACGTGAACTCACCGCCATTATCAGTTCACAACCGCCTTATTCTGGAATCAAGTTCACCTTCAACTATTTCTTTGAACTCCACAAACTTGTTGAAAACTTCTGACTTGTGCTTCACAAAATAAACCCAAGTGAATCTAGTAAAATCATCAATGAAAATTAGCATATAAGAATAGCCTAAGAATGAAGGAGTTTTCATTGGCCCCATCAAGTCATTGTGAATAAGTTCTAGTGGGGCATTGCACCTTGATAAGGATCTGTCAAATGGAAGACGATGTCCCTTTCCATATTGACATCCTTCACAAACCACTTTTCCACCAAAATTTTTTAAGTTGGCAATCCTTTAACTAGATTTAATTTTACCATGGCTTTTAATTTATCCATGCTAAGATGTCCATGTCTAGCATACCAAATACATGTGTTGTCATTGCTACTCATCTTCTCAATATATGAATGAGAGGCAGACAAGACATATAAATCGTTAACTCTCTTACCTGAGTGAGTGATTATTGCCATGATCACCTTGATATTTCGGAGGAACTTCACATCATGTGGGCCAAATAGCAAATAGTTTCTAGCATCTACAGCATTTGCAACTAAAAATAGATTTTTTTTCATTCCTGGAACATGAAAGACAATGTTGAGGGTGATAGTATCTGTTTGCTTATCGTTGATCACAACAGTGCCTTTCTTCTCCACATTATGGACTGAATTATCTGCTGTAACAATGATATTATGTCCCATGTATTCGCGAAAGGTGTAGAATTTGGATTTATCTCTACTGAGATGGTGCCCACATCCTGAATCCACGATCCAGTCTCTTTCAAAATTTATGGAAGCCATGGTATTTATTGCTCGAGTCTCCACTGCGAAGCACTTTCCCCAGTCTTCTTGGTTTGAGCCATATTGCTCTTTTTGGCTCGATAATATCTTTTTATGTGCCCGACTTTGCCACAATGGTAACATTTTAAAAGCTTTTTACCGCTACTGGAAGACTCCTCCTTCTTTCTTGGCGAGCTTGAACCACTTGAGGATTGAAAGTGCATGCTATCTCTTGATTTCCCTTTAAAGTTTCTCTTATCGGTGACAATAGCATTTCCTTCCTCTTCTTTGATAGATACACCAGCCATCTGCTTGGTTAGTAGCTCTTGTGACGATAGCAAATTCTCAAATTCTTCCAAAGATAGTTGTTGAACCCATCCTTGAATTGATGTAACAAAGGGAATATATTCTGGCTTTAAATTACGAATAATAATTCTTCTTATTCGTGCTTCAGAGATAGCCTCTTCCGGATTCAATAGAGAAGTTTCGAAACACAGATTTTTAACCTTCAAAAAATACTCGGCGATGGAGAGATTACCTTGGGTGGGGTTAGCTAACTCATTCTCCAAAATTTGTAGCCGAGCTTCATCCTTCTTGTTGAATAGACGATTGAAGGTCCTTCATATTTGATGAGCTGATTTACACCTTATACTATGATCAAATAAATTAGGAGAGATAGACTTCAATAGGATAAACTCTAACTTAACATTAATCTGCTTCCACTTCTTACGTGGATTGCTATTTTCTGGTGCGTCAGTAGGAGGACTTGTGTTACTTCCATTGATAACTTTCCACAAATCCTCATCAACAAGGTATGATTCCATACAAGTCTTTCATACCTTGTAGTTGGACTAGTTCAATAACTCCATCCTCAGTCCATTAACATGACCACCAAATCCATTTAGAGAAACAAGTTGAATCAACCACTAACCTGACCATGAAATCTAGAAGCCGACTTACGGCTCTGATACCATATAAAGAATAGCAGAAGAAGAGTATTATTTGGAGACCTTCTGCTAGCTCAATATCGTTAACTAAGATTGGAGGATTCAACTAAAGAAGATGAAGCTTTCAAAGAGAAGGAAAGTTTTGGAGACGAAAACTTTGTTTAGGAAAGAAGACTTTCTTGATTTTGGCTTCATTACAAATGCCTAAAACTACTCCTATTTATACTTGTCTAGGGATGATTCTAGATACAAAAATAATCTAGACAATTCTATCACTTTCTACTTATATATTCCTTAAATATCCAAGACTCTAGAATATTTAAATATTTCTTAAGTACAACAAATATCCAAGATATTACTCCATAACTTTCTAGAAACTTCTTCTAATTATTTTTCTTACTCTTCCAAAAATCAACTTTTTTTCACACCTTCAACAAGACCCAAGTACCTGCTGCTCCACCTTTTTGTGTGCTTGAATCGCTGGAGAAGGATGCAGAGGGAATAACAACTTTTGTTAAATATCTATCTACTGATGTGTGTAATGTACTAGCTACCATGGGTAATCAAAGTGTCCTAAGTGACACTACCTTACCCTGTAATCAATGTTCCCTTAGTGACGCTATTATGATATGTAATCGTATGATATTGTTCTAGTATTAATAAATATTCTCGTCTTTCCTAAAAAACAAAATCCAAACAACTCAAGAGACAATCAAACGATCAACGGTACAAGGACCTATTAGTCAATTATTGAATTAATCATTTTGTGAGGAGATGAGCAACTCAATATGCTTGAATTTTGCAAAGGGCAAATATAAGGGACCTCCTCCCAAACGGTAAAAATATTATGACTTTCATACTTATAAGATAGAAGGAAGATAAAGATGTCAAGTACTCCACATAGTATCAATTTCTAAGGATAACAACGAGAGGAAATAAACATTCAATTCATTGATTTAAAATATTTGTAACATGTAAAGGAAACAGGTCTACATACTTGGACCATTGACCACATAACACAAGTACAAAACTACGTACTATGTAATAACACATGAAGTGATGAACCTGCATATATATGCAAAGTTCACTTTTTATAAACTCAACGATTTTTTCGTGCACAATTTCAAAAACATAAATAGAAATTAAATTGATGCCCGAGCTAGCCATTGGCAAGTATGTTCAATAGCAAACTAGAGGGAAATAATTTGATAAAAGTAGATATACCCTGCACTTAATTAGCAGGAAGAAGAAGTGTATATTAACAAGTGAAGCCAGTAGGAGGATTCCTTCCGCAGTTGTTGAGAACGAGGCTAAGAGAGAGTGGCACATTCAGATTTATTCCCAGCACATTTGCCCTTATGGCTGTGCACAAGCAAACTGCCGCCTCTAAATCCGCTAGCCCCGCGATCAAGCTGCAGCATGGCATCGTTGGAGGACTCCCAATTACCGCTCCCACCAATCCACCAACTAAATTTGCACATACACCCAACTTCAGAGCATCTCTCGGGCACCTGCCTTGCCCATTGCCACCTCCGCCGCCATTGCCCGAACCACCACCATTTCCAGCTCCACCGCCATTGCCGGCACCACTGCCGTTTCCAGAACCTCCACCACCAATGTTATGGCAAGTGTCACAATGGTTTCCAGTAACAAGAACAAAGAAGAGGAGATTCAGTGATAGGAAAAGAGTAACTGAGGCCTGAGTTTTGAAAGCCATGTCAACAAGGTTAAAGTTGAACTATATATATGTTTGCTACCTACTAATGACAAAAGGAGTTTAATTCTGAAGAGGATGGTTGAATTGTGGTAGTAACGATGTCTATTTATACTTGTAACAAGGCTGGCCGCTGCACATATACAATTATAGACGTACCAACTAATTGAAGCTACTATTAGCATATATTTGGAGTAGAAAATTCCCTCCGAATTAAGATATATATAGTCTTAAATCAAAGTGGAGTATAATTGTCCGATTTGGTTCAAGCCCGCATGATTTTTCCTAAAATATCTCACACCATAAGAATATTTCTTTTGTAGTTTTCTTTGTTCGAAAATCTATTAATCTTCCCCTCGAACTAATTAAGTTCCACAGGACTCATCACCAAGCATCTCAGATTAAGTTCATCAACATTAATTGTGTACCACTCACATCGTCCAAGTATTTATACCCTCTGAAGCCCACAAGCCAGCTTCTTTTTGTGTGTATGTCTCGAAGCTTCGGGAAAGCAGTAAACCGAGCCCCACTCTATCAACACTACTATAGGCTCAGATATTAAGTCAGCTCAAAGATAATCTTAACATGATGTGATATATATTGCCCCCTTTGGCCCGACCTTCTACGCTTTTTATCAGTAGGGCTTACACAACTTAGAATATCTCGGACACTACCTTATGTAATTTTCTTTTCTTTTTAACTACCAATTTGAGACTGTTCGCACACCCAACTATATATAACTTCAATTATTGAAAAATATTGTATCCTTGAATGGTAATGCATATGAGTTGTGTGGTGTTGAAAATGTTAAGGAAGCATGGCTATAATTGTATTTGGCTGAGATTACTTAATTAATTGCTTACAGCTCTGCTTTTGGCTTCTACAAAGTACAAATGTTTATAAAAATGTTTACAAAGTACAGAAAAATGTTTTCCATAGAGACTTCCCACGCCTTGAGCAATTATAGTACATAATTCTCAATTCTCATAACATGGTTGTTGAAATATTTCCCCATATACGCGTTTATCTGAGCACTCCAAATTAGAACTCTTTGAACATAACTCCATGTCAAGGCAAACTTAATCAAATTATTGGAACAATGACTGCTTTATTATCATCTACTCGTGCATCTTTTTCATTAGAATGAAATGGAAAGACATGCAAAATGGGAAAAAAACAAGCTCATATTTTTCTCACAAATTTTCAACGGATACTTGTTTCATAACGATTTTATTCAATAGTTGAGCATGAAAAATTGGAGAAACAAATTTGGGTTCGCCAGTTGAACTATGATCTCTACTAATGATGCACTAGGAAATAAGCATAAAGGATATTAAGTAAATTTTTTTGCGGGTAATCTACAGATACAGGACAAGATATAAGCAAAATTATAAGAATAATGAAGTTTAGAGCCTCCGAATCACGGGATAGGGTTGTTGCTTGAATCTAATTGAGGTAATTAATTAAGTATTCCTGTAGGTTCATGTGATGTATTAGTTTAGTAGTCATATCCAAATGAAAGATATCAGCACCATTATTGTCTAACCTAGTTTTTTCTCGCTTGAGTCTAAAAGTTTGATGATTATCTAAAGTCAGAAGATGTGCAAGTGGTTCATATATAGATGAATTATAATTGAGTTGTCAGTTTGATCACGACCCTCCAATTATGGTTAGTGCACACCGTGATGTAGTTGTATATATTAAGCGGCTAGGACTAATCAGATAATATATTCAAGCTAAATAATTATTACAAATTCTATGGATATGAAATTCTCTGGAAGTCTATATGCTAGACATATATTTTACGTTAATTGATTAAGCCTAAACACTAAATAACTTACGCATCTTTTATTACACATGGTGAGTGGATGTAACGTTCCGATCGGTGGTTTTGTATAATTGCGCTCCGTTTCGCCTTTTGATGCTCCATACATGTGTGTTTATGGTTTTATGACTTACGAGGTTGATTTGTTTCGTTCCGAGAAGACTTCGGATAGATTTGGACCCTTTGATTCTTGGCTAGAAGCCTAAGTTGTTTATGTTACCAATGGTTGACTTTTGTGAAAACGACCCTGGAACAATGTTTTTATGACTCTGATACCTTCGTATTGTGATTTTGGACTTGGTCATATGAAGGAATTGAATTCGGAAGTCCGTAGGTTGATTTGCGTTATTTTGTCGCAACTTGGCAATTTGAAGTTGAAAAGTTGGACCGTAGGTTGACTTTTAACTATCAGTTCGCAATTTAATTTTGTAACTTGGAATAGGTCTGTTATGTTATTTAGAACTTGTCTGCAAAATTTGGTATCATTTGGAGTTGAATTAATAAGTTTCGGACGCCTAGTTGCAATTCTAGAAGTTCTTGAAATTTACTTTGAAATTCATGCGTTTTGGTGTCTGATTCGTAGTTCTAGATGTTATTTTTGTATTTTGATCGCGTGAGCGAATTCGTATGATGTTTTTAGACTTGTGTAGATGTTTGGTTTGAATCCGCGAGGGCTCGGATGAGTTTCAGACATGTTTCAGAATGTTTTGGACTGAAAATAGAATTGCTGGTGTTGTTGGTGCTCTTTTATCGCAATTACGAACATCAGCCACGCAATTGCAAAGGTGACATAGGGGTTTCAGATGCCGCAAATGCGACTTCCCCTTAGGATTTACGAAATAGGCAGGCCAGAGGGCTGGTTCGCAATTGCGACTTCTATGAGGCTGTCAGGGTTCGCAAATACGATCCCTGATTCGCAATTGTGAGGGTTCGCAAATGCGACATCTACAACTGGTCATAAGGGCTGGGGGACGGGATTTTTCAATATATTCTTTCATTTTAGAACCATAGACTCGGTAGGAGGCGATTTGGAGAGTGAATTTTCATCTACAAATATTCGGTAAGTGAAGTTTAGAGCCTCCGAATCACGGGATAGGATTGTTGCTTGAATCTAATTGAGGTAATTAAGTATTCCTACAGGTTCATGTGATGTATTTGTTTAGTAGTCATATCCAAATGAAAGATATCCGCACCATTATTGTCTAACTTAGTTTTTTCTCGCTTGAGTCTAAAAGTTTGATGATTATCTGAAGTCAGAAGATGTGCAAGTGGTTCAAATATAGATGAATTATAATTGAGATTTCAGTTTGATCACGACCCTCCAATTATGTTTAGTGCACACCGTGATGTCGTAGTATATATTAAGCGGCTAAGATTAATCAGATAATATATTCAAGCTAAATAATTATTACAAATTCTATGGATATGAAATTCTCTAGAAGTCTATATGCTAGACATATATATTACATTAATTGATTTAGTGTAAATACTAAATAATTTATGCATCTTTTATTACATATGGCGAGTGGATCTCAAATGTCTTTGATGTCGTGATATAATTCCATATATTTTGATATTATTCACCTTACTTGTTTGTTGTTTGGACGTTAATTTATGCAACAATTGAGCTTAATTGCATTTATTTTACGTGTAGGAACATTTGGATATGAAGTGGAAAAAAGTTGCACGAAATGATACCTCAAAGCTACAAAATAGAGCAATAAAAGAAGATGTTGCAAGGCAATAAAAAGTCATAGCCTTAGACAGTGCAAGGCTTTGTCCAGGACATTTTCATTGGCGCCTCGTAGGGTACTGTTGGTGCCTCTGATGGCACCTCGCAGGGTAATGTTGGCGCCTCTGATGGCGCCTTGCAATGTAATTTGGCGCCTCTGACATTGTCCTGCTCCGACGATGCTTATTGGAACCACTTTTATTTCCTCATTAATTTTGGACATGTATACTTTAACCCAACCTTATAAATACCTCCTAAACTTAGTTTTTAGGGGGGGGGGGGGAATAGACATTATTGGAGAGACAAGAAGACTACGAGAATACTTGGAAGCAACGAATCACAAGAGTTTTTTCTTCCATTCTTCCTTAATCTGTATTTTAATGTTTTCAATTATTATCATGATTGTTAGTATGGTTATGAGTAGCTAAACCCTTTTATCTAGGGTTTGATGGAACCTTTTGAAGGATTATTTTTCTGTTACGCTAAATATGATTTTGCCATTGGATTTTCTTTTCTTGTTCAACTACGTGATTATCTTAGTTGATTGAAGGGCCCTTAATTGACTGTGCCTATTTAGTGTGTATTGCTTGAAAAATGGTACATATTTAGATAGTTATTGAGCAACATCACTCCTAACGTATGCGAGGAATCAATATGGAGGGTTTAAATGTGGGATTTGATAACAAAACTTTGGTGCGGTCTTGGTGAGCGGTGAAATAGAGTCAGCTAGCTTAGTTTGGAAGAATACGTCTAGTAAATTGTGGTAGTTACTCAAAAGAGAAGTACGACACCCAAAGTACTCATGATCGATAGAGAATACTTGGGCGAAATTAAGGAGACATAACGGGAGTATAATGACTCGGCCGGTCATTTCGAGAGTTGTAATCCCATTTCCCCATTTTTGCTTCTTTTTGTATTCTTCAGCTATAGTATGGTATGTCAGGGCAGTTGGTTCGGGTCTGGAGTGGTTTTGGAGAGGATTTGAGAAACTTAGTCTCTTTATGAGAAGCTTAAGTTGGAAAATTCAATCGGATGTTGACTTATGTGTAAACGATCTCGATGTTTAATTTTGATGATTCTGTTAGCTCCGTTAGGTGATTTTGGACTTAGAAGCGCGTCCGCAATGTGTTTTGGAGGTCTGTAGTCGAATAAGGTTGGAATTGGTGAAAATTGGAAATTTGGAGATTTTGGTCGGCAGTGGAAAAATATGATATCGAGGCCGGAATGGATTTTTGGAAAATTGGAGTAGGTTCGTGGTGTCATTTGTGACGTGTGTGTAAAATTTGAGGTCATTCGGATGCGATTTGATAGGTTTCGGCGTCGTTTACGGAATTTGAAAGTTTAGAAGTTCTTAGGCTTGAATCCGAAGGTAATTGTCATGACCCGGATTTCCCACCCTCAGGAGTCGTGCTGGTGCCTACTAGTAAAAGCTAGGCAAGCCAGCCATTTAAATTATTTACCTTTTTCCCGTTTTAATCCTTTAACAATTACGAACAACCATTATATAAACAGGGTAATTTAATAAGCGGAAGAAAAAAATATAACCATTTAAATATTACCAATACAAATCCTAAAGCATAAACTACCCAAAACTGGTGTCACAATTTCACAGACTGTCTAAGAATACTATAAGTA